CCCCCCCCCCCCCCCCCCCCACCCCCCCCCCCCACCCCCCCCCCCCCCCCCCCCCCCCCCCCCCCCCCCCCCCCCCCCCCCCCCCCCCCCCCCCCCCCCCCCCCCCCCCCCCCCCCCCCCCCCCCCCCCCCCCCCCCCCCCCCCCCCCATATTTGTAACTATTGTGTTGGAGCGGGTCGCTCCTTAAATAAATGCATATATTAGTTAATAACCAAATGGAATCCTCTCTTTCTTTTTCCCAGTAAGAAACGCCTACGGAAGCCAACAGTACATAGACAGATAAAGCACATAGGCTATGGTTATAACTAAAATATGCATTTATTTAAGACGCCAATTTATAATTGTAACAAATAGTATTTGAATCAAAACATTCACACAATAGGGTAAAACACGGGCGTTGCCCGGGTCATTCGGCTAGTTATACTATAATATTGATCAAGTACACTTTCTTAATAGAGAAAAAATGTCTTATTATCTGAAGGTTTAACTATGAATTACTCAATTTTCCAAATAGTCTAGTAAATCATGGTTTAACATTTTATTTTAAAGTGGATACTTTATTGAGGACCCACTGTATTAAAGAAAAACTCGCACCAAGACCAAGAAATTCCAATTCAGAGTGGCATTCTAATTTGTGATACCTAATTAGAAATGAGAATTCATTTTTAGGATAAATCCGATTTAATACCCTCTGTAATGATCTCATCAGTTTTTTCATCAGTTTTAACATCAAGATTTTGAAGTTTCCAGCTAATATTTAATTTATCGTATCTGATCTCAAAATTTTAAACAAAATTATATATATTTATATAATTAAAAACATATATTAAAAACATGGCATATCCTGACTGCTCACGTAAGTATTTTAGATGGCAGAGTGTCAACTAGTGAAGCAAAACGAACTGTTATAAAATGTTCATGTCAGTTAATTATTTTTCATACATATATAATAAGTGGGTCATGTGTTGATATTAAATATAAAGAAAGCATATCCTGACCATGAGCACATATGCTTTACAGAAGGCAGAGCGCCATCTGTGGAACAGAAATCAACTAAACATTGATTTAGCCTGTTCTCTGATATTTGGCTAACCCAATTTCTTGATAAAATCAAGAACAGTGCGAAACGCATTCGTGGATGGTTTTTCTTGATTTATCAAGAAATTGGGTTGACCAAATATCAGGGAACAGACTAAATCAATGTTTAGTTGATTTCTGTTCCACCAGATAGCGCTCTGCCTTCTGTAAAGCACATGTGCTCCTGGTCAGGATATGCTTTCTTTATTTTTAATATAAATATATATATAAATCAGGGAACAGACTAAATCAACGTTTAGTCCTCTGCCATCATGTGAGCGTGGTCAAAATATGCCTTTTTTGATTTTAGTATATATATAATAATTATTAAAAAAACATATATATCTATATAAAAATACCATAAATATAAATTTGATTTAAATGGAATTTATAAATTTAACATTAAATATATATAAAAACCACTACCCCACCCTATTACCATCCCAGAACCTAGCTGGATATTTCCACGTGGTCTGATGGAATAAATTGATCTTTGATGATGAGAATGATTAAAAAGTTATATCGAATTTGAGGACAAAAGTTTATTTTGCTGTAGTCGTTTCTAGACAGAGATTCATTAGTAAAATTATATGTACTAATATTACACAAAATAAGTCTTCAAATTGAATAAATAGATATTAAAGATGATATCTATAAATTTTAAAAGTAATATTAAATTGTACAACACAGCAAAAACAAGCCTTTTACTGGGGACTTATTCCCTACTCAGAGGAAGGGCCAGATAAATAATTACTTAGAAAAGATGAGTTAGTTATTTACAGGTTATCCTTTATTTACATATCCATTTACATACGGCTCTCTTTCCTCAATGTTTATTTTCTTGCGCAGCCCTGTAAAACTTGTACAGAGCCAATGTATTGGATTTATTCTTTGTCATCCTTGACAACAGGAGCATCCAGAACAAAATTATTTGATCCAATTTTAAATAATAAATTATTAGAATAAATAAAACTATTTTGCAAAAATAGCGCAAATTTCAACCAAAAGATAACGTTGAAATTAATATTTTGACAAAAAATCAGCGCCATTTACCAACCAGAATAGAAACTAATTTTAAATAATAAAATATTTAAAAAGAAAATTTTGGAAGATGATTATATATAGAGAGAAAGATGGTTTTGGATAGTAACGTTAAAGTCAGTTTGATGTATGATTTGACCTTCCAACTTGAATGATGTATTTAACGATAATCCATCCATTAGTCATGTTGAATGCAGTATGTTGCTCTTGTGGAGGGTAAAATGGAGGAATGAAATCTGGAAGGAAGAGGTCTTCCATTAATCCAACAGTTGGCAGTTTGAAATGCCAAAGATTAATAGCTTAAAGCATATTAATCATTTATAACGGATAAGAGGAAATGTGTTCTAGTCATGTCCAAGCAACCTTCTTTTATCGAAAACTCATTAATTTTATAAGATTACCTTTTAAATAATGAAGTTCTTGAATCTTTAAAATCGTTGGAGAGAATGAAGTTGTCTTAAATAAGTTAGGCTTAGATAGATATAAAAGTTTGTGAAATGGTCAGTAGATTTAATAAAGAGGTTAGCAGAGATTGGTTGTTATTATTCTTAATTTTGATTATTATTTTCTTATATTACTGTTATAAGAATATTTATAGGCATTATTTATACTATTTCGATTATGGAAAAATCTTTTAAAAAGAGTGAACTATAACTTTGCTTGTACACTGCAAATATTTAATATTTTCGAATGCAATAAGAGTAAAGAGTATTGTAAGCTATAGAAAATATTTGGTAGAATCCTCAGGCTATAAAGGAAAGTGATACAATTTAGGGATATAAAGGTAAGCTATAGAGATTTTCAAGTAAAAAGCGAAACTATAGAATTTTCGAAAATAAAAGGAAGCCATAGAATTTTCGAAAATAAAAGGAAGCCATAGAAATTTAAAGTAAAAAGGAAGCCATTGAATTTTCGAGAATAAAGGGAAGCCATAGAAAATTTCGAGTATATAGCGAAACCATAGCATTTTCGAGAATAAAGGAAGCCATAGAAATTTCTGGTAATAAAGGAAGCCTTTGAATTTCAGAGAATAAAGGGAAGCCATAGAAATTTCGAATAAAAAGAGAAGCCATAAAATTTCGTGCTATATTTCGAGAATAATGGGAAGCCGTAGCAAGTTCGAGTATAAAGACAAGCCATACAAATTTCATGTTATAATAGGAGACCACAAAATATTCAAAGTATATAGAGAATAGGTAAATATTTTGGGTTCTAAAAAGATAATCCATATATTTTGTATTTAGGTAAATTCGGTATATCAAACGATAGATGCCACTTTTGAATATTTTATTATGAGATCAAAGTTAATTTCAGATTTTTTTACATCAAGCACAATATACACTCAAGACGAACTATATTTCTATAAAATATACTAATGTTCTGTTAATAGATTCTACCCGAATCAAACCTCTAAATATGAAATGATATTAGCATATTAATGATCTAAAACGTTAGAAGAAAGGTAGATTAGAGAATATTGTGGATCCCATTTTCTCTAATGGAGTCGTCGAGGAGGACCTAATGGCCTAGATGCAGAACTCGAGATGGAATGATGAAGTTTGGATGATAAACACAATCTGGAGAATGGAGATTACATTTGCTTCTATGCCTGAGTTTACCATCAAAACCACTTCATTTGGTAGACCTCTAGATTCCTTCCTTCTCTGTTGACTTGTGGTTTTCCTAAAAAAGATATTTACTTGCATTAGAGTTGGAATTTTTGACTTGAGCTCAAATGGATGTTATATGAATATTGAATGGTATGTGTGTATAATGGTAGAAAGGAAATGGAAAGCTTTTCCGTT